GCAATATAAAATACTATTTGTATTTTTGTTTATTATATGTTACAGTATGATATTTAATAAATATTCATAAGTTTTTTTTTTTTTGTCAACCACACATTTATTAATAAGTAACTCCTAGATTGGTTGTCCAATTAAGAGGAGAAGAGTCTACAAAAGAAACTTCAGAAAATAAAAATCTAGAAGAGCGTACTAAGCAGTCCGCTTTAACATTACATAAACGAGAAATAAGAGAAAGCGAGAAGAAAGGGAAAGAGACACAGAATGAACCAAACTCATCTAGCAGATTGGAGAAAGCGGGCCAATCATCAGGTGACTGTATCATCGAGGTTAACTCCAAACAATCTGTTTCAAACGCCTGACAATCGATCCTTCTTGAAAGGATATTCTTCATAGCTCAAACTAAAGCTTCCATCTCCGAGTGAAGGGGGGAGGGACATCTCCGAAGACACTTTGCACCGAGCAGTATCGTATGTTCAGTTCCTTGAAAACACCACCATCCTAAACCCATAGTTGGATCCGAATTTTTCCAAGAGCCATCAATCCGACATCTTATTGACTGAACTGGGCTTTCCAAAGTTTTCGTAGTAGTGCTAGATTCGATCTGTTCCAACTGAGCTTCTTCCCACAATAATTTTCATTCAAAGCGTGATTTAAAATATATGTGGGATCAGATTGTAATCCCTTGAATACCTTTTTATTCCTATCTTTCCATATGAACCACAAGATCCAAGAATAACATTAGGTTTTCTCCCCCCCCCCATCTAGTGTAGATGGTAATCTCCAATAAAGATAATGTAGATTTGAAAATTCCGAGCTTAGAAGAAAAGTACTTGTTGCCATAGGAATTGCGGATAATTCCTATATTTTATGAGAATGAGAGCACTCAAATAAAGCATGATTTATCGTCTTCTCTGCCAGCTCACACCTTTTACAGATAGTATCACATCGAATTCCCTCTGTGTGCTAATTTTGAAGTAACTGTTAGGGATCCCGAAGCAATTTGCCATAAGAAATGTTTTATTTTTGGAGTTGCTACTTGTCCTCTATTCATAAGTTTATTATTGAATTTTAATAAATTATCTACATCCATCGGTAGAGTATATAACACTTTCTAATTTTAATGTGGGTAAGATGGAAACAAAATTGTGACAATATGAGACGGTTTATATCCACATCATGTAACTTTATTTGATAATATGGATCTCTATTTCTCTCTATCGTCGGGCATCACCACCGAGTCTCACTACTCCGATCCACCAGGCCACCACCACAACTGAATCTCACAACTATCACAATCATCATCACCATCAATACTAAATCTCCCTAATTCCGACCCACAACCTTCATCAATATTTACCTCCACCACCACCAAGCTAGAACAACCGTCATCAACACCAACACCACCGTTATCGCAATTTTTCCTCTTTCCCAACTGCTCTTATTTCTACACCTTCTTTATCTCCTCTGACAGCGGGTTGATCTTCTTCCACAACAACTCTATTTTATGTCCATCGCTGTTTATAATTCTAAATTTGCCTCCATCCCCATACATTCTTAATTTGTTTATCTATCTATTTTTTTATCTATAGAGGTGAGTATTTAAAATCTTTTTTCTTCTAGGATTAATAATTGATTATAAAATTTCTTTAATTATCATATTATACATTGTATAATATCAAAAATCTATTTTAATTTTAAGAAAAAAGTAATCTTTTTTCTTCTAGAATTAGTAGGTTTAAATTAGAATTAGTAAATAATTTTTTTAATTTCTATTTTTATTCAATGAGATACATATAGTTTCTTTATAATTATCTTCCTTACTTTAAATTTTTTTTATAAGATATATATGTATAGGTTCTTTATAAATTTTTTTTCTTAAATTTCTATTTTTATTTCAAAAGATACATCTAGTTTTCTTATATTTATCTTTTTTAGATTTTTAGAATTTTTTTATATTAGATATATACGTATAATTTCCTTATAAAATTTTTTCAATTTTTTTTTTGGTTTTACACGTTGATAAATTTGACATGTGCATATAGTTTCCTTATATATTTTTTAAAAATAAATAAAAGAAAATTTTGGTTTAATATGCGTCAAAATGTGGGATCGATAAATTTGACACGTGGCACGATTTTATGAGTTACTAATTTTGAAAACTATACTTTATATAATAAGATATAAGCATATCGTATTTTATTTTTCTGTTTATGAAATTCTCCCTCACAACAGTCTACATTATATTTTAGTACCGTTATGATTATGAATAAATATTTTAAATTTTTCTTTTTTTCAAAAATGTTATTTTATCTATAAAATATTATTCACTTGACGAAAATAAACTCAATTCATTTCGGAGTTTCCAAAAAAAGTTGACGAAAATGATCAACATATATAGCAGATTTGAGACAAAAGATTTCCCTCTATAGTCATTGAGGACATCATGACATCATGCAAGATGCATTTTAAGAAGAACTGTCATAGATAATATTTTTGCAAACATCACCGTAGCAAATATATAGAAAAGATTTTTCATAATATGTTTATGGACAGAACCTTCTAGAACATGTGTTTAGGAATATCTTTAGCAACAAGATTCATGGAAGGATCTTTTGACATCAAACCTTTAACCGAAAATATATTTCTCAACATACATATAATTAAAGAATCCTTTGTTTTGTGCACTTACACTGCAAAGTGATATAGTTTAGAGATCATGAAACACCAATGTGGCTTTTTATAAAGATGTTTTGACGCTTAAATCAAAGATAAAGTTAATGTCTTCACTTTCTAAAACATAATATTTTTTGGAGGAAAAAGAAAATTTGTCCTGTGAAAATAAACAAGTATCTTATAGAGATTCTTAGTAAATTTGCCAGCTACATGATAATAGCAGTAAACTTGAAGGCACTAACTAAATATATGGCACACGATATCCTGTTGTAATTTGTTTTTTTTGTTGGTGAGATATTATAATCTCAAATTTTTTTCTAGAATTTCTTAGCAGTAAACCAGCCTATATACATGACTCTGGACAGCAAAAAACTTGGATTATGGGAGCATGAGCCTATAAGAGCCTTTAGTGTTGATTAATAGGATGAGAAAGCCTGCGCATGTCTTGTAGTAGACTATGTATGTCAGTATGTGAGAACTTGGACATGTGAGAGCACAGACTACATAAGCCTTTGGTGCGGAAGCCTTTATTATGAGAATATTTTCAAATATCATCTGATTCGTAGATATATTATATAAAATTTATCTCTAATATTTTTTCTCCACTTCAGAGTTTTTTTTTTTTTTTTCCGAGAATGTGGTGTGGAAACCATTTGTTAGAATACGAGTACTGTAGAAGAGTTTCTACATTATAAAAAATGTTATGTATAAGAATAGTGCTTAAGTCTCTAACCCAAAAGAGAAAGTTGTTTTGACTTCGGTCTGTAGTAAGTAAAGAATATAGATGAATTTTTTTTTGCCAAGTCATAGAAATGATGACTGTTGAAGACTATAGATGGATTGTGAAGTCATATGAGTATTTGAAGAATAATACCGCATTAATTTCAAATGGTCTTCAACATGGTATAACCATTTGATGGTTTTTCATGGGCATCATCGTGTTAAGATTACTCATGGAAAAGATAAATCATGTATTAATGTTAGTATCTAAACAATCTGGATTCCACATGGACAATATAGACGAAAGACAAAATATTTGCAATGGCTGAACAAGATATAACTAGATATATAAAGTAACAAGAAAAGAGCATTATTTTAATGATTGTTAGATATTTAAGACCGGTATAAAAGTATTTAGGTGGGTGAGAAGATGCTTGCAGAGTTGCAGTTATTACCTAGTAGTGCTGGTAAATTAAGAACTACCACGAGAAGATTTCCTATTGAAAAATGATGATTTAGTGATCAATATTTTATATCTGGATCGTGACATGTTGGGTAAATTTAAAAATACTCCAATGAAAGGAACAAAAATTTTAAATAGTAGAAAATGGTTGTATGAGACAACATCACAACGATTTTTAAAAGCAGTTTTGACTTTAGTATTTTAAGTTAGCTTCCTAAAATCGAAGAGAATGTTTACGGAGATTATAAGGAGAGTAGTTGTTCTATAGAGGTAATTTTGGAGGAAAATCGGAGTGATTTCTATTAAAATGATAAATACTATGTTATTTATATATGAATTTAAAAAAAAAAAATTGTGTTATTGGATTAGTGATTTTAAAATGTACAAATTCATTGTTATTAGAAATATTTTAATTAAGTAGTGGATTTGAAGTCATCTGAGTGACTTAAAGTGAGATTTCAGAGAATTTATTAGTTAAAAATACAAAGATACAAATCTCATGTTTTTATGTGAGATTTAAGAGAATTTTAATAACAAATTTTCTATTTCACCAAAATCATTTCAAAACTCAATAAAATTCAAGTCACTCTAAATTTATCATTCAATATACCCCCTAAGTGTTTAGGATGGACGTTCTTACTATAAAAGTTTCGCCCAAAAGAATTTTTAACAAAAATTATGGGATTTTCCTAAAGATTTATTTGGTAATGCATACCAAACATTTACTACAAAAGTGTTGGACTATAAAAGAATTTAGGATGTGAATGATAACTATAGAGAGGGAGAAAGGGGAAATGGAAAGAAAAGGAAAACATTTTTTTTGTGGCCAATAAAGAGTATTTTTTTCTATCATATCATTTATTTATTTTGGATGAAAAATATTCTTCCCTCTTAACTACACACCATTCCGAGTATTATTTTTCTTCTTTTTTCCCGACTCTTATATTCATAAATTAATTTATATTCAACAACAATTATTAAATAATTTAAGACTTTTTTAAAGCCTCGTGAACAATTTATAACATAGTAATGTACAATATTCAAAACTTTAAGAATTTTAAAACATTGAAAATTTTATTTTAGAATATTTGTCATATATATTTTAAAATGTGATATTTTGAACATCTGTTACATATTTTATTACTTAAAGAATAAAACTTTTATTTTAAGAAAAGGATATAGAAGAGGCTCATTGTAACATTATTGTTATATGATTACAAATTAGAAGCACAAACCCATGCATTGTTAGCCAGATCCTCTCAGCCTAAGAGTTAACAGCCTGATATTGTAGCACTTAGTACTATTGTGAATTGGCCAGCCGACATAACCGAAAGAGTTCAACGTAGTGAAACCCAAAGTAGTGTTAAAATTAAGCAAGAGCTTTGGTATTATTAAAAGGAAATGCCTCGATGTAATTTAATTTTTTAAATAATTAACTGAACCTTTTCTTTTGTCTTCCATCAAGACATCAAGCACCTCCTCCAGTGGGTTGAGGATTCCCAAGTGACATTTACGTATCGAAAAGGCAATGGAGTGGCGGACAGAATAGCGAAGAAGTCTCTTTTTTTTAGAATCATGATCCTAAGTTGTACTCTATAGTGCTAATATGGGTTAAACCCTTTGTGGAAATAGATAATTTGTAACTGAATATTAGTTAATATGAAGTTGAAGTTGAGCCAAAAAAAAAAGTTTAGACTCTCTAGCTATCATAAACCAGTGTCGTTTTTCTATGGTGGGCACACGATTTGTTTAGTCAAAGCCAACAAAAAATTCCACTTCTATATTAGATTATCAATTCTTTGTTAAAAAGAAATTAAAACTAATTTTCGCCACGTGTAGAAACGATATCAATTCTTTGCTAGTTATAAATAGAGACCCTCCTCCTCCAAAAGGCCCAACCAATTCCACATTAAAAATATTAGTGCCTCTCTGTTTCTTTTTACCATTTGCACAAAATCGTTTTGTTTGCCTCCAACCAAAAGACTTCAAAGCACTAGAATTTGTCTCTTTAGTTCTTTTATCTCTAAACCGCACAAAACCAGTTTACTCGTCTCGAGAATCATGTGTAACTCAAAACCATCTTCTGCTTCCTCTTCCTTATTATCTTGTAAAGACAAAACCCATTTCTCAAAACTCGAAACCTGTGATACAGATAATCCTCATTATTCCGACTTCACGGATAATGATTCTCTAGACCTTAAAAGATGGCCAACTTTTCTGGAGGTACATAATCTCCTTTTTTTTCCTATACGTATTATTATTTTTTTTTTCTTACGGCGTATACATATATATGAATATAGTAATACAAGAATCGAGTTCTTTCCAAAACTAGATTGTACGAACTATACCAATAACATACATATATATATATATGTATTAATATAGAAACCAAAATTTCACAATTCTTTTCTTGATTTGATACCTAAATCTTTATTCCCGGTTTGGGATTTTTGTTATGTTATTATTTATAAAGGTTTAACATAAGCTTTATTTGATTAATATAATTAAGCACTAACCAGGGAAAATAAAAATCTACTGACGTGGACGGTTCTTGTTCTTGACTTTTCTTTTCTTAAAAATCTGGCGGCAGGGCTTAGAGGAAGTGAAGGCAATAGGAAGAATCTCTGGGCCAACGGCGATGACCGGGCTTCTTATGTACTCAAGAGCAATGATATCGATGTTGTTCCTAGGCTACCTCGGCGAGCTTGAGTTAGCCGGAGGATCTCTCTCCATAGGCTTTGCCAATATCACCGGCTACTCCGTCATCTCCGGTTTGTCCATGGGGATGGAACCAATCTGCGGCCAAGCCTACGGAGCTAAACAAATGAAGCTTTTAGGACTAACCCTTCAAAGAACGGTCCTCCTCCTCCTCTCCTGCTCGGTCCCTATATCTTTCTCTTGGCTCAACATGCGCCGAATCCTCTTATGGTGTGGCCAAGACGAAGATATCGCCTCTGTTGCTCAAAAGTTCCTTCTCTTCGCTATCCCTGACCTCTTCCTCCTCTCTCTGCTTCATCCTCTTCGCATTTACCTCCGAACACAAAACATTACATTACCCGTGACTTACTCTACGGCCGTGTCCGTTCTCCTCCACGTTCCTTTGAACTACCTTCTAGTGGTGAAACTGGAAATGGGAGTCGCGGGAGTCGCTATAGCTATGGTTTTGACAAATCTCAACCTTGTAGTCCTCTTATCTTCCTTTGTGTATTTCACGAGCGTGCATAGTGACACATGGGTCCCAATTACTATTGACTCCCTTAAAGGTTGGTCATCTTTGCTCTCACTTGCCATACCCACTTGTGTGTCTGTTTGTTTGGAGTGGTGGTGGTACGAGTTCATGATCATTTTGTGTGGACTTTTGGCTAACCCAAGAGCCACCGTGGCTTCCATGGGAATCTTGATCCAAACGACGGCTTTGGTCTACGTATTCCCATCTTCTCTCAGCCTTGGTGTCTCTACAAGAATTAGCAACGAGCTTGGGGCTAAACGCCCGGCCAAAGCTCGTGTATCCATGATCATTTCACTCTTCTGCGCGATCACCTTAGGCTTAATGGCAATGGTGTTTGCTGTGCTGGTTAGGCACCATTGGGGTCGCATGTTTAGCACGGATGCAGAGATTCTTCAGCTGACTTCCATCGCATTGCCCATTGTGGGGTTATGTGAGCTCGGAAACTGTCCTCAAACGACTGGTTGTGGGGTTTTAAGAGGCTGTGCAAGACCAACACTTGGTGCCAACATAAACTTGGGTTCATTTTACTTTGTGGGCATGCCAGTCGCTATTCTGTTTGGGTTTGTTTTCAAACAAGGGTTTCCAGGTCTCTGGCTCGGGTTGCTTGCAGCTCAAGCAACTTGTGCTTCTCTCATGTTGTGTGCACTTTTGAGAACAGATTGGGCAGTCCAAGCGGAGAGAGCTGAAGAGCTGACGTCACAAACTCCCGGAAAGACTCCTCCTCTTCTCCCCATCGCCAGGTCTAAGAACCTGTCTAGCTCCGGTACAGAAGATATGATGAGAACCATGTTGGTTTAGATTGATAGCTATTCTTTGGTGTCATTTTCCTTCAACATTGACGTAACGTACATATGTTCTTGTCATCATTTTTTGGAGTTTATATTGCTCCTTAATTTCTACCTTTTGATTCAAGAACGACTTTGTTTTGTGGGCTTTAGTGGTGTTTATGTTATTTATGGTTGTATGGGTGTGTGTGATAGTTCTTAGCTTCAACTTTAGCAGTTTGTACTTGTGTGTTCCCTTTTGTAATAACTCATTTTAATTTAATATCTTTAGCTTTGTCCATTTCTAGGAGAAGGTGAAATTATGTTTTGTTAAACTAAGAATAAATTAAAATTGTTACTAAGAATAAATTAAAATCAATTTTTTTTTTAACTCCATTACAACTTCAACGTGTATATATATTTAAGAAGATTGATACTAATTTTTTTTTGTTTTCAAGACTAGGCCATTGAAATCTTGAGAAAGACCATACTAGCTAGTATATGTTGGTAATAATCAAATTCAAACCTAATGGCTGAAAACAATCAGAATAACTACGGATAAAGTAAAAGTTTAGAAAATTTTCCATAATAGGTTTTTTTTGCCAATTATTTTGCCAATTATGTTTTGTTAAACTAAGAATAAATTAAAATTGTTACTAAGAATAAATTAAAATCAATTTTTTTTTTAACTCCATTACAATTTCAACGTGTATATATATTTAAGAAGATTGATACTAATTTTTTTTTGTTTTCAAGACTAGGCCATTGAAATCTTGAGAAAGACCATACTAGCTAGTATATGTTGGTAATAATCAAATTCAAACCTAATGGCTGAAAACAATCAGAATAACTACGGATAAAGTAAAAGTTTAGAAAATTTTCCATAATAGGTTTTTTTTGCCAATTATTTTCTACTCGTGTATGTATTGTGATTACTTTGCTTATTTAACAATCAATTCTTTTCTTAAGGACATGCAATATGGATCTTTTATTTTTGAGCTTATTTTTGAGCTTTTTGGTTGTTCCATGTTCTATAAAAGGAAAATATATTCGCAGCCAAAAATGGAAAATATTTTCTTTATTTTATCATATTCTTTGTCTCAACGCCTTTGGGATTCGATACGTTTTAAAATTTAATTGAGATCACATTTATTTGATTTTGGTTGTTTCCTTTGAGCAGAGAGAAGCATCTTTTCTTTTCCTTGACACAAAAAATATCCGCTCTTTCTCTTTTACATATACTTTTTTTTTTTTGGTGCTGGGACCGGAACATGAATTTATACGAACTTCACAGCGATGTGGCCAAAGAATAAAACATTAATATGACAAGAAAATGAAATAAAACTGAGTGGAATTGATAATGCGTCTACGTGTCGACGATATGAATTACCTTTTGATATTCCTTTTCTATAGATATTTTAAGAAATAAAATAAGTAAAGCCTAAACTGAATTCATTGGCTTGCTGAAAAATCATTGAGTTTCATTGGCCATCTATAAAAAGTTCGAATTTCATTGGCCTTTGAATTATGACGAAAGAAAAGACAATTGTGTATTATATATTTTGGACATCTACCTTTTGTTATTATTAACATGTAAATAGTTAAATGTATTTGTCTTTTATTGGTAAACACTATGAGGTCAATCATACTCATTCTAAATTTACCGGTGAAGCTATTTCAAAATTTTAAAGATATCAAACGTAGATGATTAACCACGAAAAAAAAAAGTATATATAACGTAGATTTAAAGCCTATGTTTTTGTTAGTTATAAGTTGTTAAGAACTGTACTTAGTTATATTATAAATTTATACCACCAATTTTTTTTTAAAAAAATTTATTACAAATTTATTACAAAAATAAATTTATTTAAGTGAAAAGAATAAGTAAATCCATCCCTCTTGAATGATTTTATCCATTTCATTTAAATGTCCTACGACGGGAGGACTTTTTTTTTCTCTTTAACATCATTGTTTTTTCTTGCACCGATGTCAAATTTATCAAGTCGATTTATTATACAAATTTATTCATATCATCTTTTTTTAACGGCTATTTATTCATATCATCTAATAAATCTTGCAGAAAGTATATTTTTGTTTCTCTTTATGTTATTTTATTTATGTGAGCCTTTAAAATATACCTGGATATTTAATTCATGCATATTAGCTTATTATGTTGAAGTTTGTTTGATATGTGTATAATCAATAACGAGACTACAAAATAAATATGTTTTTAAAGGTATATTTGATAAAATAACGCATTACATTTTCATTCAACTTTTTAACAGTACTCTTATGTTAGCAACAATTTAAATACTTGTCATTTCCCTAAATGGTTCTTTGTTTTTTTTTTTTTTTTTTTTTTTTTTTTTTTTGTCTTTTTTTTTTTTTGATAGGAATGTGAATATCATATAATATGAAGAGGTGAGGTTCTACAATGAAAGCATAACCTAAGTGAATGTAACCTTGCCAAAAAAAAAATAAAAAACAAGGGTTACATAATAAAAAACAAAGCGATGGGTGTCAAACAACGCATTATCGAATCCAAAGGATCATTAAGTTGCGAAAAACCCGTCTGTTCTTTCTAACAGGGATCGGGTTTCTGATCCCCTTCTCCAAGGTCATGAAAACAGTAAAGGCCGGGATTGAAACTTGATTATAAAAAAAATTGTTCCCCTGCTTCCATATATGGGAAATCGCAGCCTGAGCCACCAACTTCCTTAAAACCGTGGGAACAGTGGTAGAGCTGAGCCGTGTCCACCCAAAAAAAAAAAACCAAGTATAGAAAGTGCAAGGAGACAGGGTTTAGTCGTAGGAGAATAAGCTTCCAAATCTGCTCGCTGAACACACACCTAAGAAAAAGGTGATCTCTAGATTCAGCAAATTGAGAACAAATGCAGCAGGCGGGAGAGATCGGCATGCCCCAAGCAATAAGACGGTCTCTAGTTGGTAGCCTGTCAAGTTGAGCTAGCCACATGTTAAAGGCATGCTTAGGTGTGGCTCCTTTGTACCAAACAGAGGATGACCAAGCCTTGGCAGGAGCTTTTAGTCTTAAACTATCCCAAGTCTCTGCAGTTGGGAACTTTATGAGGTTTGAATCACGTCCCAACCAACTGTAGAAATCATGGTCCTCCTCATCGTCAGTCAAGTGGACAGTGGAGAGCAGATCATGAACAGCCACAATTTGTGGAGAGCAGAGTCTCGGTATTCTCGCAGAGTAATTTGCGAAAGCGTCAGCCACTGAAGAGAGTAGTGGAATTCTGAGTTTTCCGGGACCCTGCTGGCCAGCAAACTTGATGAGAGTGCCAAGCGGGTGCCAGTTATCAAGCCAGAAACTACCATTCTTTCCATTCCTTATGTTGCAGGTCAAAAATTTCTCTGCAAGAGGACGCAGCAAAAGCAAGGATCTCCAGTTCCAAGAATCAGAGGCAGAAGGCTTTAGAGACCAGAAACTTTTACCTTTGATATGATGATGATGGTGCCAAGCCACCCAAAGAGAGCCGCTGCCAGCGAACAGCAGCCAGACCAGTTTTAAACACAAGGTAGAGTTCCAAGTGCTCATTCGTCTCAAACCAAGACCTCCTTCATCCTTTGGATAGCAAACTGCTGCCCAAGCAACCTTAGCTCCCCTGGAACTGTCAATGGAACCAGACCAAAGGAATCGTGCACAAAGAGACTCCATCTTCTTGATGCAAGCTTTTGGTAGCATAAAAGTAGAGGACCAGAACGTGACAAGCCCATAGATGACTGATTTAATCAGTAGAAGTCTCCCAGCATAGGACAAAGAAGAGGCAGCCCAGGATTTGAATCTTTTAACCATCTTCTCAATAAGAGATGAATATTCGGAGATTCTGAGTTTTCTACTCATTAGAGGGAGTCCCAAGTAGCGAATTGGCAAAGAACCAATGGAGAATCCAGAGTTAGCAATGGCTGAGGATTCAGCAGGTTCCAAACCGGCAGTGAAAACTTGGGTTTTAGCACAATTCATAACCAGTCCAGACCAGCTAGCAAAAAGATCCATGGTATCAGAGATTCCCTGAAGAGACATGGAGGAGCCATCAAAGAACACCATAACGTCATCCGCGAACATGAGATGAGTGAACATGAGGATTTTTTTGTCTTTTTGCAAAGTAACACTGCAAACTATCCTAGGAGGTGAGCATTAATTATGTCTAATTAATGACACATTTTTTGTACATCATAGAATTAGATCCAAAAGGTGATATATGTTCATGTATACTTAGAATAAGTATGGCAAGTGTACAGTAATAAAAGTGGAGTAGCTAGGTACATCAAACACATGTTCTTACAGCGTCTTTGTCTGGATCAAATGTTCAATTGTAGCCACATGAGGCATCACAAACATATAAATATAGTTCATAATATGTAGAGAGTAGAGAGAGTCGTAGATAATTGTTTGTGTTCGAAGAAAAATCGAATTAATAGATGCCAAGTCTATAAATGCCGTGTGTGGTAAAGCTCGAGTTTGGAGGAGAAAGAGAGTAGGCAGGGTCCCCCACCCGGTGACATGAGCGGTTAATTTCCCTTTCTTGTAAAAAGATAGCTTTACAATCCAATTTATCACCTACTTACTTTTTCAAACATCATCTTCTCATGACTCCAACCATGAGATAATCTCATTTTCTGCTCCTCAAACCAGCAACTAAGCATATCATGATCGAGTACATAGAGGTTGAATGCAAGATTGTTGCAATTGTTGTTTATGACGCCACTTGGCTCCTTACCCTTTTGCTTGAAATGTGTATTCCTCTTTTACCGTTAAAATAATAGTGTTTGTGACAACTTATATACCATCTAGTTTCCCTCAAATCCATTAAGGCAGCAACGGACCGAGCATGTCGTGATCGAAATTCTATTCATTCGTGGAAAATTAGCTATCGGTCACATTAAGGCTTTACATGTGTTTTCCGCTTATCAATAACTAGCTAGAGATTGTTTTGCAAATAAAAGAAAAACTTTATGGTTACTTTACAAATAATTCTCAACCATATGGTTATTAATTAATATATTGTATTTTATCATATCTAAAAAACTATAATGCCAAATGCCGACAAAGATTTAAACATATGATATTCATAACTTTATTGACAATTTGACATGTATGATTGTTATAATCTTGGTATAGTTTCTTGATTATTGACATGTATGATAAACTACCTAAAAACTTTATTCTCTTTCTTAAACATTGACTTCGTTGAAATTAAGAAAAAGGAACTCGTGATGCATGAGCAACCGACCTTAATTCGCCTTAAGCATGCCCCAAAAATTGGGTATGATTAAATATTTGATAAGTAACTCATTGGCTCTGCCGCCCGGATAAACCCTTACCAATGGTTATACCTTTTCTTACTCACTTTGAATTGTTCGTTATTACTTTATACTAATTTATTGAAATTAAAAAATTAAAGTCAATTAGAAAGAGCTCAAAAAAGTAAATTATAAAATTCAGTTTATCACTTATCAAGATAAGAAAAGAAGGCCACTCTTTTGCCACCGCGTTAGAATGTATATCATGTAATATTTATGGCGAGTTCTCATTTGTTGCACACAAAAACATCAAAGTTTACTCAAAAGATATCATTACATAAATTATACAATATGAACATGTAAACGTGAAGGATAAAGGCACTTAATTGTTGTTACCTCCTTTTGAAACTCTTACTTTTTTTTAAGTATTATTATTATTATTATTATTATTATTAAAAAATATGGGTTATGCGAGCAACTATCTTCCTTGTTGACAAAAGTGCTACATTTGTACATGCTAAATGTCACTAGTGGTAATGGATATTGTACATAATTTTTTTTTTTTTGAAATTTAAAACTGATAGATTAGAATGCTAGGAAAAATGATCAGTGAATCTAATTGTTCTTCTCGAATTAATATAAACCTCTAAATTAAATATGTTGGCATTATGATATTTTATGGTGATACAATTTATAAAAATATTTGTTTTAATTGTTAAAATTCTATAATGAATTGAGAAATTTTTTATCTTTTTCATCTAATGAAATTTAATTTTTCGATGTTATAAATTTTGAAGTTTTAAACTTGAAAATTTAATATTTATAAGAAATTGTTTTAACAAGAAATAACAATGACTACAGATGAATTCACTTATACAAACAATACAAATAAATTTAAATTTGTGATTAATGACTTTAGCTATCGTATTTTAATAGTTTATATGACTATTGTAGTAAAATTGATGTATTTTTAAAATTTGAAAACATACATAAAATTTTAGTTATCTTTATGTCAAATTTATAGACAATATATACTACAATGCGATATTTAAAAACACAACATAAATTTTTTTTTGATACTTTTGATATGATAAAAGTTACAGATGAATTCTAACGATTAATTCAAATTTTTTATACAACTAAAACCATAAATTATTATATATAGAAATAATGTATTTTATGTAAATTTACATAATTTTTAATTTATTATATTAATAAAAACATATATTTACATAGAGATTTTCATAAAATTATTATCTTTTCGAGTACTGATTTATAAAGATTTTACTGTAATTGTTCAATGAAATCTAATATCACTGCATATTTGACATACCAATTTTTTTTTCTCAATACATAGTTCTTTCCTTTGTGCTGGTCGGCTAGATTAAAATGAAGCATGTTAATATATATATATTTTTTTTTTTTCATTTCTTTTTGCGTTTTGAATTGTGCACTATATTACATTATTACCTCGCTTTGTTTATGTTGGTGGCGTGGTCTGCTTAATTAGAAAAATTGGACATAGGATAAATACATTATGACATTCTAAATTCATCCACAAACTTTCTACAGAATAACAAAGAAAGACGTAAGAAACATTCATCTCATTTCATATTATGGAGCAAAACCTTAACTATACATTTGCCAATTGGATTTGCTTTTGATAACGTCTTTGATTTTTGTTTTGTTTTGATAACGCCTTTGATGGTCTGGTCAAAGACTCCATTGTGTTATATTTGCTAATTAGTGGGTCGGGAAATGTGATATATAGTCTTGTATTTATCCGAAAATGATATATTCAAAAATATCCCATGTTTGTCCATCTTCTAAAATTTTCAACTCGTCTAACTTTATTGGTCAACGCTTTTTCTATTGTATATAACGTTATAAAAAAAAAACACTCACACTAGGATAACATAATCACGAAGAGAATATCTAAAATCGTAATTTTTGTTTTTTTTTTTGATAAACTCTAAATCTAATTAAGCAAACATTCTCATGGTCTTTTTTAGCATGTATAAGTGGACTAGTTGAATAAGGTTCCGATGCATGTTTTTTAAAAAATCCTTAATTTGTGTTAAAGTATGCATATAAATTAGAGTTTATATACAAAATTGTTTAACCAAATTAAATATACTTTCCACTAAATATTTTTTCATAACCTACAAATAAATTGAAACAGTCATGCCAACATGCCAGCCAACCACAGTTAATTACACATATATATCATTGTACGCTTGTAACCATTTAAACATCAGTTTGAGATATCCTTTAATTTTTATTAATCAGAAAATTTCATATTTATTACATAAATTTTACAGAGAAAAATAAATAAATTAAAATAACATTTAATTTTTGGTTAACTTAAGAAAGAAAAATCATAGGTTTAAAATATAATTGTTTTTAGTTTTGCCTTCGGTAGCACTCAAACAATACCTCTCTAATATTTTAGATTCGGATTTAGTAGCACTAAAAGAATACATCTCTAAATGGTTGAACTAACCACGCCTTTTTTAGAGTAATCATGTCATTTAGGTAAATGTAGATCTTTATTTTTTTTGATAAAAACATAACTACAGTCTTTTATATTGTAGACATTTATTTGGTCAAATATAATGGAGACTATAACATGTATTATGATCCAATTTCAAGTATCAACTAAATATATGACTTTAAAAAAAAAAATTGGGTGCTTATCTAGTCGAGCTAATGACACCTGTTAATTGGTGATTTTTATACAAAATTAATCTATTCAATGAACAACAATATTTGTTTTTGTCAACTGTTTTTAATTAAAACTCAAAAAATCATTCCACTGTTTACATATGTGATATGATGCAGTTTAGTAATGAACATCAATATTAAAAAGCAATTCATCAACTATTATATGTAATTATAACGAAGAAAGAACTACAGGCTTTCACTTTCATGAATTTCTGACAAATATTGACTAATCCACTGTTGAAAACATAAGCTTACGGTCTTCTTCTCCTTCTCATACAAAAGTCGTCTAAGACCACACGAATCATGGAACCTATCACACATCTTTAAAATTTGGGCAATCTATCTTCTAGAAGAGAAAGTAACATGCTTCTAAAACAATCTTACTTATAAGCCACGATCACATATTCCGGAGGACAAGAGAGTGATGGTGATGTGTATCTTGATAAGATACTAGATAAGCTAGCGTAGAATCCTAATGTTTTCTATTCCAACGTAAGAAATAAAGTGAATGAAATATTAGCACTAATATATATCTTTTACCATTTGTTGGATTCTCCAAGTCCGATCCAA